ACATGTATAGTATATTATTTATTAATAATTTATTTACCTAATACAGTGGATTGGACTGTGTCTCTTTTAGTAGGTGAATTATAGGGTGAACTTTCAAATGATACTTTAGCTCCTACTAAATAAATATTACATATAATTTTAATTGAAAATATTAATTTTATCATCATCAACTATAATAACCCACACACAAATAGCAATGTAAAGAATTGGCAAGAGTTGAAAATAAAACATAAAAAAGTATACTATATCCCAGTTGAGTTTGGGACAAGAAAAACTGGAATAACTTTTTATAGGAATGTGGGATAAGGATGAAACTTTCACAGGTTCTTAGTCGCCAAAGTCCATTAAAATCTGTGAAATCTTGGGTCTCTCAGCCCTTGGGAACCCTGAGAACCGGGTTCTCCCTATAAACCCAATGGCATACCAAAATGACGTTTTATGACAATTTATCTACGTCATAGTTTACATAAGAACATGTGGTCGAGCGTGCAAACTGATAATTCTTCTTTTAAAAAGCTAACAGAGCCAGATCTTCTGATAATAATGGCCATTATGAAGACTAGTAGGCTCCAGCAGCTATTGTACTGCTTATCAGCAGCAGTAAGACTGTTTTAAGAGTGAAACAAGACAGCCGCCATGCTTCTATGAATATAATTAAAATACGTCATTTTTGTGACATAGCTACATTTCGCAGCTGCTTCCACTTCTGTCCCAAACTGAACTGGGATATAGTATATTATAGTGATGAAGTGCTACAATTAGGCTTGACTGAGAGTACTGCTGCCTCAGGCTTGCACCAACAATAGCCCAATTTCATGACAAAATCGTCACAAAAAGATTCTACAAAGAAATTTTTATTATTTCACTGCATATGGACATTAACTTCATCCACAATTTTTAAACAAGTGTAACAGTGTAAAAATAATTCCTATAATTGATTTCACCACCTTGCATGCATAGCTGGGCACTTATTAAGACTTATAGAGGTTCTCTCTACCTTCAAATGCTTCTAGAGAAGTTTTTAGACAGTATCTCTATGTTCTTTTGCTGTTAGAAAGCTCATAACTTTGTCCCGTGAGCAAGCCGCCATTTTGTTTACTGTGGCCACACCCACTTACATAAAGGAGCGTGGGCAGGTGGTTGCTAAGGCTTGTTATTTCTCCAATACAACATGTATAGAAGAAATGTAAGTGTGGACATACAAATATATGTATATAGATAGCGCGACAGTGAAATCTATTATAGGAACGACCTGGGGGCTTCGCCCCCAGGTCGTTAAAAAGCTTGTGAAATTAAAATTTAGGCTATCAGTAGTCGTATCATCATATTCAAAGGGATCAAGTGATAGGTTTGTTGCTACAAATTAAATGAAATTAAATACCGTACGCGTCTTAATTTTCGAGGTGTATTAAATTTCGTTATTTTCGTGCTCACCTTAAATCCACGAAATTTAAACCACCTCTAATGCCATTCTATTGTATGTAGATTATGGCCAGAACACGAAAATTAGCTCACACGAATATTAACTTTTGAGCACATTTCATTGAAAACACGAAATTTTGAACCCTCGAAAATTTGAACGTATACGGTATTAGTCTTACTTTCTCTTTCAATCCCATCAGCTACATCATTCTCTTCAGTCTCCCTCAATGCTTGTATTAATGTGTCATAAGTTGCACTCATTACATTATCAGGTCGTTTTAACCATGTCTTCAAACACTCTCTTAGACAGCTACGAGCATCTCCTTTGTTAGCTATCTTAATAACATCAAGTGTATCAGGGAACAAACCCAGATACAGACCAAGATCATAATAATTGACATCAGAATATCCATGCTTCTTTAATAAATCAAGTACATCAACAAGATGACTGATATCTAATGGACAAAAGAAAATCTGAAACATCATCTACATGTAGATTAAAGTACTTGCATGAATAAAAGCCTATTTAGGCTTAAGCATTTATTTGCTATAAGGATTAAAATTTAGTTAGATAAAAAAATGGCCCCTAACTCAAACACATATCCACATAAAGGTAAGCACAATTAATGTCTAACAGTCCCAGCAATCAGGGCAACAGCAAATACATGTACATGTATGCTTATTTTGAAAAGATGCTCACTGCTTATACACAGTATCATGCATGTATGTTATTTATTCATTTATTTACCTAAGTCAGGGGAATGTACTGTGCCTCTCTTAGCAGGTGGACTGGAGGGTGGACTTTTAAATGATACTTCAGCTCCTAATAAATAAAAATTACATGTACATGTAATCTCAATTGAAAATATTAATTTTGTCATCAACTATAATAAACCACACTCACACACAAATAGCAGTGTAAAGAATTGGCAAGAGTTGAACAGAAAACATAAGAAAGTATATATAGTGATGAAGTGCTACAATTAAGCTCCGCTCAAGTTTTGAGCAGCACAAATCTCAGTTATAGTAATTTCAGGAACCACTTTAGGCTCTTCATAAACTGATAAACTGTATAGCATTTGTCTTCTTACTTCTTATGCCAATTCTTCATTCTTCTTGGAAGAGTCATTGCCCAGCAAATTTACTGTGGGTGTGGTTTCAGTGCAAATTTCAATAAGTCTCGTGTAAGATCATAATTGAAATAGCGACATTTTTATGGCAAAAAGGAAGATTTCACAAAGAAATTACTACAGATACATGTCGCTATTCACTTCATCCAAAAATTTTTTGCAAAGCTTGTGAAATTAAAATTTTAGGCCGTCAGTACAGTCGTATCATCATGTTCAATGGAAGTGATAGGTTCGTTGCTACAAATTACCTTAAAGCCACTATTATTTGCGAGTACTATTTTTTTGCGTTTTTTGTGAGTGGCTTTAAAATCGCAAAAATTAGTACTTGCATTTATTAATAATTTAGGTTTATTAACAGTTATTAATTGGGAAAAAAGAGCAAAATCGCAAAAAATAGTACGCACTACAGTAAATCAGTACCATTAACAAATCGCAAAATTTGTCTACTTAAAAATAAGTGGCTTTAAGGTAAATAAATAATAAATATTAGTCCTTACTTTCTCTTTCAATCCCATCAGCTACATCATTCTCTCCTATCTCCCTCAATGCTTGTATTAATGTGTCATAAGTTGGACTCTTTGCAATATCTTTTTGTTCCAACCATGCCTTCAAACAATCTCTTAGACAGCTACAAACATCTTCTTTGTTATATTGCTTAATATCATTAAGTGTACGACGGAACAGACCCAGATAAAGACCAAGATTATAATAATCAACACCAGAATATCCATGCTTCTTTAATAACTTGAGTATATCAACAAGATGACTGGGATCTAATGGACAAAGATATTCTGAAACATTGTCTACATGTAGATTAAAGTACTTGAATAAGAGCCTAAGTGTTTATTAGCTACATGAACAAGCGTATAAGTGTAAAAAATATTCCTAGAATTGTTTCCACTCCCTGCATACATGACTGGGTTCTTATTAAAACTCTCTACCTACTAATGCTTCTAGAGAAGTCTTTAGATAATACCCATGTGTTTTCTTGCTGTTAGAAAGCTCAAAACTTTGTTCCATGTATAAGCCGCGACTTTCTTTGCCGTGGCAACACCCACTTTACATAAGGGTCCGGGTACCCAGGTGTGCGCGGGTGCATGGTGGGTAGTTGCTAAAGCCCAACATACACTACATTCAACAATGTTGCTTTCAACATTTGCCCAGCCTTTGACAATGAATGCTTTAATTGATGTGGTCAAGCAACATGTTGCCTTGAATAGAAAACCTTTCTACTGTAAATCTGATCTATTTGACTATTTCATAATTGGACTCGTTTTCGTATAGCAATGAGGCATACTAAAATTAGAATTGCTAAAATCCTTTTTCCCTATTAATATATTGGGCTAAATAGGCAGTATATAAAAATTTCCAATGCTTAAAATTTCCATTCTGTATTATATAACCAATAAAATAACCAGATTCACGGTATTCCTTTCAACAAGATTGAAAGAAAGGTCAAAGGCTGGCAATTACATGTTGCTTGTAGTGTATGTTCAGCTTAAGACGTCTTAATTTGTTATTTCTTCAATTCCAATATTTGTATAGAAGAAATATTAATTAAGTGTGACATACACATCTGACATGGGCGAAAACAATTATAGGAAGCAAAGCCCCTGCAAGTCATAAAATTTAGTTAAATAAAAATGACCCTAACTCAAACACATATACACATAAAGGTAAGCAGAATTAATGCACGTAGTACCATAGGTCGGGATATATTCGTGGCTGCTTATTTTCGTGATAATAAAAACTAATAAAAGGTTCAATTAAATACCATGGAAACCAATTGATTGTTGCTATGACAATAAGACCACGTGTTTATACAATTACAGTGTTCAGCAGCTAATTATCTATTCTTTAGGGAGCCATCCAGTTCTCCATCCACTATCTTCTTGTATGGACCACTACCTTCGAGCTCTTTGCTGCAAATCCTTGCCACTCCACTTGCTGGTGATAATTAACCACGCCCAAGTTAATAAATGGGTGGAGAGTTCCAAGAATGGGCCAAGATACGGCCAGGCAGAGCGAGGAGAGTAGCTCGGGTTGAAACAGCTCCAAAGAGACCAAGGATTAGTAACAGCAAGAAGAACAGCCCAAGAACACTGCAACAGAGTCCTTTGCTATTAATATCGCGGATTTTTCAACTAAAATTGCATCTGGTAACCATGGTAATTGCTGAGTGCGGGAAAAAATCGCAAAAATAAGCAGCCGCAAATATATCCCGACCTATGGTATCTAACAGTCCTAGCAATCAGGACAACTGCAAGTATAGAATATGAATATATTAGTAATGAGTGCTTATTTAGACAAGGTGCATTATGATGCATGCTATTTACCTAATACAGTGGATTGCACTGTGTCTCTCTTAGTAGATGGAATTGAGGATGGACTGTTAAATGATACTTCAGCTCCTAATAGATAAATATTACATATACATGTAATTTTAATTGAAAATATTAATTTTGTCATCATCAACTATAATACCGTATAGCAGGAAATTTTGGAGGGACTAAAATTTGGCAAAACAGGCAAATTCCTAAATTTTGGTGATTGAAAAATTTCAACTTGGTGAATTAGTGGCCATGTGCCATTGAGCATGTCAATAATGGCTCAAAATGGCTGATTTTATTTTGGCAAATGGCTATCAAAATGCCAAATTTGCCAAATTTAATTCCCTCCAAAATTTCCCGCTATACAGTAACCTACACTCACACACAAATAGCAGTGTAAAGAATTGGCAAGAGTTGAACAGAAAACATAAGAAAGTATATATAGTGATGAAGTGCTACAATTAAGCTCCGCTCAAGTTTTGAGCAGCACAAATCTCAGTTATAGTAATTTCAGGAACCACTTTAGGCTCTTCATAAACTGATAAACTGTATAGCATTTGTCTTCTTACTTCTTATGCCAATTTTTCATTCTTCTTGGCAGTTGGAAGAGTCTACTTTGATTCACTGCCCAGCAAATTTACTATGGGTGTGGTTTCAGTGCAAATTTCAATAAGTCTTGTGTAAGATCATAATTGAAATAGCGACATTTTTATGGCAAAAAGAAAGATTTCACAAAGAAATTACTACAGATACATGTCGCTATTCACTTCATCCAAAAATTTTTTGCAAAGCTTGTGAAATTAAAATTTTAGGCCGTCAGTACAGTCGTATCATCATGTTCAATGGAAGTGATAGGTTCGTTGCTACAAATTACCTTAAAGCCACTATTATTTGAGAGTACTATTTTTTGCGTTTTTTGCGAGTGGCTTTAAAATCGCAAAAATTAGTACTTGCATTTATTAATAATTTAGGTTTATTAACAGTTATTAATTGGGAAAAAGAGCAAAATCGCAAAAAATAGTACGCACTACAGTAAATCAGTACCATTAACAAATCGCAAAAATTTGTCTACTTAAAAATAAGTGGCTTTAAGGTAAATAAATAATAAACGTTAGTCCTTACTTTCTCTTTCAATCCCATCAGCTACATCATTCTCTCCTATCTCCCTCAATGCTTGTATTAATGTGTCATAAGTTGGACTCTTTGCAATATCTCTTCGTTCCAACCATGCCTTCAAACACTCTCTTAGACCAGTACGAACATCTCCTTTGTTATATTGCTTAATATCATTAAGTGTACGACGGAACAGACCCAGATAAAGACCAAGATTATAATAATCAACACCAGAATATCCATGTTTCTTTAATAACTTGAGTATATCAACAAGATGACTGGGATCTAATGGACAAAAGATACTCTGAAACATTGTCTACATGTAGATTAAAGTACTTGAATAAGAGCCTAAGTACTAATTGCATTGGAAGCAGTTGGAAGAGTCATTGCCCAGCAAATTTAATGTGGGTGTGGTTTCAGGGTAAATTTTTAATCAGTCTCATGTAAGATCATAAGTGAAATAGCCAAATTTTTATGGTACATGTACAAAAAAATTTCATGAAGAAATTCTCACAGATACATGTACACAATGTAGCTGTTCACTGCACATGAACATGAACTTCATCTACAAATTTTTTGCAAAGCTTGTGAAATTAATTACTGGCTTCTGATCACTGAGCTGTGAGAAAAAATGTTTGAATATCAATGGTTTACAGACAACAGTGCTTCACTTAAACCTGTTTTTAACCAGTTTGTAAATTAGAAATATGATATATTTATAATTTTCTGTGAATGACATTTCTGATTTATAATGATATTCATTGGGATACTGTAAATGAAAAATTTTTTCAGGCTGCCATTGTGGAGGTATACTATCACTTGCTACAATGGACCGACAGGCTAAAAACTGTCAATTCTACTTCTCCTCGTCACTCCAGTGGCTCCAAACAGCTGCAGACGTATGAAAAGAAAAATAAAGGTCACTTTTGAGGCTATAACTGCTTGCTCTTCTTACAAAACAGCAGAAAGTGTATCAATCTCCATTGAAAACAGTGCAGCAATACCTCCACAAATGGCGGCCTGAAAAATTTTCCACTTATGGTATCCCAATGAATATCATTATAAATAATAAACGTCATTCACAGGAAAGATAATGAATAGAGCTGTTGCACGGATGTAATCAACGGGGTAGGTGGAGCTTCCTGTCGGCCATCTTGAGTGGCAAGAATGTACACACAACGAATGGAGGAATGGAAACAAACTGCGATTTTTCATCAAAGAGATATCATACTTCGCTGCAAAATATTATAGAGACTTCTTTACTCAATATCTTCATCTCCTACCTTGCATTAGCCTCGAATGTCAACTGCAGAATTTATTTAATTTTTTTTCTCCATTCCTCCATTCATTCTTGGCCTTCTTGCCACCCAACATGGCGGACAATTTAGCTCAATTTTAGCCACACCCTCCCGTTGATTACTTCCGTGCAACAGCTCTATAGGTTTCAATGGGTTTATTTTGAGGTTTATTTTATCTTGTGACTGTGTCACTCGGTTAATAAATCCCATTGAAACCTGAACCTTGGTGTATGACTTATACTTACTTTCTCTTTCAATCCCATCAGCTACAGAATTCTGTCCAATTTTCCTCAATGCTTGTATTAATCTATCATAAGTTGGAACGTCATCACTGTTTACATCATTGGCTTTTTCCAACCATGCTGCCAAGCAGTGTGTTAGACATCTCCTAACATCTTTGAGAGGTTCTTCTTGTTCAATCTTATCAAGTGTACTAGGGAGTAGTCCCAAGCAAAGACCAAGATCATAATAATCAACACCAGAATATCCATGCTCCTTTAGTAAACCACGTATATAAGCAAGATCAACCAATTCTAATGAAATGAATAATTCATTAACGGAGCGTAGCAGATGTGACTAACCTAATCGTGACTGGTGTCGCTTTGATTCTCTGACAAAAGGAGTTGCCATTTTATTAAAACTTTACTAGGTCACGTGGTTGGTCATGTGACTCTGAGCAATAAACTCATTACAATAATTTTGAAGTGATTCAAAATTTTATAATACAACAAAAAATAACATTCATAAATATAAACACTCTTGAAAAAACAAACAAAAATAAAGAACACTAGAAGAGAAAAAATAATAAAGAAAGAGGTAGAAATTGAAAGAGAGAGACAATACAGTCTCCAGATATCATATCATTCATAGGTCCTGTATCAGTAGTAGTCTCACTGTTCCCTGTACAATAGTAAGAGCTTCAGTAGCATAGTCCTTAGTTACATTATGTATTATTAAATCATTAACTGCTACCAGTTCATCTCCAGTCTTTATCTTTGAGTCTTTCTGTAACACTGACTCAGGTAGGATCCTCTTTACGTAAATGGGTACGTCCCCAGTGGGAGAGCCACAACCACCAACGATACTGAGACCCAACCCCTGACCAATTCTCCTTTGATAACAACTTAGCCTGTAACTTCAACTCATTACCAAAGAGAAAGAGAGAGATGTAACTAAAGAAGGAAGGGTGCAATATAAATTTTATATAGTTGTGTGTACAATAGTATTCACTATCTAACTTAATTACTTACATGTATTAGGAAATACCGTAGGGTGCCTTTTTTTCGAGGGCTGTAAATTTCACGGATTTCTTGAAGATTCGCAAAAAATTACTTATGCGAATATCAAATTATTACGGTACAAGATGGCAGATGGCATAAATTCATGAATATTATATCCGCGGAATTGATTTTTAGGCAATTTTGCGAAATTTATAGCCCTTGAAAAAAGGCACCCTACAGTACACAAATGTATAA